TCCTGAGGAGGGTGGCTAATGGTTTGGGTCTCCAGGCTGAGGTAGTGTAAGAGACCTTGGACTTGTTGTTTGGGGTTTTTGGGCAAGCAGGACCTGGCAGGGTAGCCTTGCCCCTGCATGAGGCGGTCACCAAGATTCTCTGGCAGACCCCCTTCTCAATCTCACCTATAGCCAAGAGGGATAAATGGAATTACTTTGTCCCATCGGGGCTCACTGCATCCATCCACCCAACAACCTTGTGGTGAAATCAGTCGACCACAAGGAGTGCCAGGGCCAGCGGGCCCCCACTCCTGAGAATAAAGACTGCACACTCTTGAACTTGTTTGGTAGAAAGATATTTTCTTCGATCAGCTTTCTGATAAGGATAGCGATCCATCAAGCATTGTTTGCCAGTTATGCAGAGAATACCTGGCAAACACTGGCTAGATTTGAAACCACCTTGCCCAAAACCTCCCGCAAGGAATAAAAGCTCTGATTGAAGAGAGGCTGTCCGTGGTGCTGGCGGCCTTGCAGGTGGCATCTGATGCTGTGGATTTGGCAGCTCACTCTATGGCTTCCTCCATTTCCATCAGGTGTGAGGTTTGGTTCATCCTGTCGGGCCTGTCTCTAGAAGAGCAGAACTCCATACAGGACTTCCCCTTTGACACAGGTGCTCTCTTCACAGAAAAGATGGACACTAAGTTGCATGGGCTAAAGCTGAAGGACTTCCATATGACCTTGAAAACCCTATGTCTCTGCATCCCAGGGTCTGTGAGGAAGAGGCTGAAGCCCCAGTCCTCCCAACCAAAGGCCAGTATACTCACCAGAAGAGCCAGCAGAACTCCATACAGGACTTCCCCTTTGACACAGGTGCTCTCTTCACAGAAAAGATGGACACTAAGTTGCATGGGCTAAAGCTGAAGGACTTCCATATGACCTTGAAAACCCTATGTCTCTGCATCCCAGGGTCTGTGAGGAAGAGGCTGAAGCCCCAGTCCTCCCAACCAAAGGCCAGTATACTCACCAGAAGAGCC